TGGCCCACAGTAAATTCAGGATGATATCACCTTAAGATACATAATTACATCTATGAAGACCCTACTTCCAAATAAAGTCACATTCACAGGTACTAGGGTTTGGAATTGGACATATCTTTTGGGGGCTACTATTCAATTAACTACAGGGGGCTAATACATTGACATGTGTTTATAACAGGTTAGGAGTTCTAGCAAAACTATCGTCAGTTTATTATTTGATCTGATGTTAGGCCATACAGATTATAGTCAGAAAAAAAATACCTGTAGGTAATGTCTCAGATTGCTTTATGAGCTCCTTGGGATGTAGGGGATTTAGAAGAAAAACTCCAGGCTGGTAGAAGGAGATGAAATGATCCCAGAGCAGAATATGTTCACAAATTAATAGAGACACAAATGAATTAAGAAGGCAGAACAAAATAAGCAGAAGGGAAACTTCAAGATTCCCATGGGAAATAAGTGAAAGAGAAAGAAAGTAAACTGAAGTGCTATTGACAATCATGATGAAGTAAGGAATAAAGTCTTGAAAATATAAAATGAAAAATGAGGAAAGTTATAGTCAAGGGAGTACTAGACCAAGGCTACACCAATAAAATAAAAATTTATGGACTTGAATATGAGACCTTAAGTTGCTTCAGGAAATATTTCTTCTTCTTCCAGTTGTATCTGGTGGAATCTCTAACATACCTAGTGCCTAGATCAAAGACACACTTCCACCAATTATTGGCCAACTGACCTTGAAACTCTGACTTCTTGGGCTTCCTTATCAGCATGCGCATGGCCAACATAGTTCCCAAACACATATTATCTTCTGGCATAGTTCAAATTTTTTGGAAAATCTAATAGGCTTAGCTCAATTATTTAAGTGGACCACACAAGTTATAGATTACTGGCATCTAGTTTAATGGGTTGACCACTGATCCCTGGCCCATTCACCACAGATCAGGGGAAGTCAGACTGAGGGGTCTCATGGTATGTGGATCTGTCCCTTCCAGGGTCGTGGCTGGAATAAACACAAAATTGTACATATATTAAACAGATATGCAGAGGGGTGCAATGGAGTGGTGTCCATGCTATAAAGTAGGGATGATTGGAGAAGTGAGCATAGAGGGACTGACTCTTAAAATCTGAGTAGTGTTCAATAGTGGAAAGCACAGGGAGGAGGCTGAGGGGTGATGGGAGGGCAGTCAACAATTCTGAATGGAAGGTGCACACAGAGCCCATTAAGGACTTCAAGTAAGACAACTGGACCTGGGATGAGCATTCCAGTGATTTTATCAAAACCTTGTGCTATTCTCATATAAGAAACCAACTGGAAACAAGAAAAAGACTTGAACTATATTTAATCATCTTGTCTAAGGAATGGAGGAATATTTTCCCATCTCAGTTCTTTAACTGGAAAGTTGGCATTATGCACAAAGTTGTTAAATTAACAAGTATGCCAGCACTTTAAATTATTAATTGGTATGTTCCTTTTAATTAAAATCATCCTAACTAATGACTCATTTCACTGTGTGCAACACCAGCTGAATAAGCTGGAGGACATGATGAGGGTGTGAATTGTTTTTCCTTGCACCCATGGTGATTCAAGGGAAACATACACTTAACCTTCTAGTCTTGCCTCTGTGCCTATGAAATAAGCCTTATTTTGGAATAAGTCGATAGAATACAAAGAGTATGGACTTTGAAATGCATACATGTGGCTTTGAAGGTTGGGAAAATATTTAACTTCTCTGATCCTCAAATTTTTCCATCTAAAAATGGGAATAATAATAGTACTCACTATTTGTTGAGATTTGTTGTAAAGGTTAAATGAAATAATGAAAGCAAAGAAGCAGGTGTGTAATAGTCCCCATCATCACTACCACCATCCTACTTAACTGAGATAGCATCTCCTTATCCATCAAGGCTCAGCTTAACCACCATCTCCTCTCGGATGTCTTCCCTGAGTCCCAAATCTGGGCAGGTGTCCCGCCTCTCTTTGATTGTGTGTTTATCCCTATCACATGGCTGTATCTGAATCTTCCATTACTTGTGGGCCCAACTGGGGTACCCAACTAATGGGAAATTGCAGTTATTTAAGATTGAAGTAAGTGTTTTTTCTTTCAATGTACATGCAATATATTTTCAAAGGACTACCACGTTAGTAGGACATAAACACTCAATAAATTGTTTGGATATAATAACATTAACAAAAAAATTAGGTGTTTCTTTGGCCTAGATGTGCTGTGAGAAATATTACTGTGAACCAGGAGACATCAGGAACCTGTGTATAGGAACATGATGATGCTCTGAACTAGAGAAATGACAGTGATTATTAGTATTGTTATAACAAATGCCACAGTTATAATAATGTCATAGCTACTAGCTAATATGTAATTCAGCCCTTATATTTCCCAGGCAGTTCTGAGCATTTGGGCGTGCTTAAAGGGGTCACATATATTAGCTCCTTTAACCCCCTTCACATCCCTAAACAAAAAGTGTATTTCTCCCACATTACAGAAGAGGAAACTGAGGTGAGGCCTGTGGAGGAAGAGTAACTTGCTTAAGGTCCATGAGTAGGTTGATGCTGGAGCTGGGATTCTAATCCAAGCCTTCTGACTGCAGACGCAGGGGTCTTAACCACCTGCTTGCCAAGGCTGCGGGGATGCAAAGGAGAGAGTTGAGCTTTCTGGATGGCAGAATCCTCAGAATTTACAGATTTTAGGGACTGGAGAGAATAGATGTTTTGGGTTGTCTACCTAACTGACTTCAGAAATTCTCCAACCCTCCAGCCTGATAACTCAGGTGAGTCAGGGAGATGTGTGCATAGGTGACCCAAGCTAGGCCCAATGAAGCTTTCGCCAAGGAACTGAGGACTGAATCAATGAGCTTCTGTTGATTTTCTATGTCCACATCAATCAACCCAAACAGATGGTTAGTGTCACAATGTAACCGGAGGCAAATGTGAAGAAGGTTCACAGCCTTTTGCTGTTGAGGTCACTGCCCAGTGCTATGCTTCTAGAGCCCAACTTGTTCCGTGATTTGTGTAGATTCCCTGGAATCAGCACTCTACCAATAACTTTCTTTTATTTGAGCCAGATTTTCTAGACTTCTGCTCCTTTTAACCAAAGGATGTTTAACTAGAACCTTGGACACAGATGTCATAAAATACACCACTAAAAAAGGAGGAGGAAACAATACCTCCATCTCTAAATATTTAGCTCCTTAAATTGAGTGGCCATGAGTGTCATCCAGATTGTAGACTTCGGCTAGGCCAACTCCTCTTAGAAACCAGGCAGGTCTGTGGAGTTCACAACAGTTCAGCAAGGCGGCTTTCCTCACCGCCCGAGAGGTCAACATTCTGCCCGGCAATTACACTGCTGTCAGATTGTAAGCACACATTTGCAAATGGCTCTGTAATTGTTCAGAGACAATTTAGGCCTGTGCATGCAGGCCTCGTTACAGACTGTTAATGGGAACCTTACCCAACATCTGCTTTCATGGTTGGAGCCAGCTTTGTGCTGTTTCAACACTTACGGGTATAAAACAGCAGCGCGGATATTTTCCTCTGCCAACTCTCAGAAAATAAAAACTCAGCAGCATGGGCAGTGGCATGGCTGATTGATGGGTTTACAGCATTATTTTTTTTTTTTTTTTTTTTTGTGTTTTTTTTTGAGTTTATTTGGTCCAAACAGAGGATACGCCTAAAAGCAACATCTCAACAGACTGAGAAAAATGCTTCTCAATAAGAGACCCTTACAAATTTCTTCGTTTACAGTGTCTTTGATGCGTTTGGCATTAAGGAGGGAAGGAAGATTAGATTGTGGGAGAAAGCCAGGTGGGGATTGGCTTACAGGACACGGAAAAGATTATGCGCTCCCGGAGGGTGGTGATGTTTCCAAGAGGCACTGCGAAGGTGCGTTCCCCTAGATGCTCAAGAACAAAGGACAGGGCTTCTACAGCATTATTATAACATGATTGTTTTCAGCGATCACAGTCTTATTAAAAATGGTTTGGCTTTCTAAAAATGTAGTACGTCAGTAAGATGGGCAATTGCCAGCGGACAATCCAGGTTATGCTGCTCTACTCACCTGCTTCCCTGACCTCGTGCAGGATGGTTAATACCATAAGCTAAGAAATTCCTGTTAAATGTCAGGCATGATATATGGGGATGCCCATGTAAAAAGTGGTAGATCTCAAAGCATGCAATTCAGAACGTTTGTCTTTGTGACTTTTGACGTGGGGCATATCAGTGTTTTCCTGCTCTTAGCATCTTGAGGTAGACAACATCATTTCCCCCGATTGGTAGGCATAGCCCTTCATTACAGCTGCTCTGGATGATACCTGCTGAACCCCACCAACATCCAAGGGTGTCCCGTGCCTGTCACAGAGCCCACGTTACATGTCACAGCTCATCCCGAATTCTAACTGCTGGCAAACACCTCAAGTTTGGGTGACTATCTACCTGGCCATTTTCAAGTGTTATAATATTTAGGGTTATAGCTCTGCTCAAAGTAACTATAAATTATCGTGGCAGAAAGGTAACAGGATTTATCCTTCTCCCATATAATAGTCCCAACTCCCACGTGAATAGTCCAGGGTGGCAGGTTGCTTTGCTCCACAGAGTCATTCAGAGATCCAAGCTCTTATGATCTTTTGGTTCTGCCATTCCCCTAGGAATTGTCTTCAACTATATGGTCAAAGCTGGGGTGCAGATAAACTCATGTTGCAGCTCATGGAAAGGGGAAAAGAGTCCAGGGAGGTTGGCTTATCTCTTAAATTGAAGATGACCTGCAAAGTCAACTTTCATTCACATCCCATTGGCCTAAACTAAGTTCTAGAGCCACATTTACCTGCAAGGGATTCTGGGTAATGCTATTTCTACCTGGGAGCTTTGGTCTCAGCTTCAACTCTACTGTCATGGAATAAAGGGACAATAGATTTTGATGGCCAGCCAGAAATTGCTGTCATATGTAACAGAAATATTACCTCTTATACATAAGAGAAATGTTACATGGTTATATATTTAATAAATATTTATTAAGTGTCTACTGTGTGCCAGATACATTTTCTTACACATGTAAGAAAAATGGGGCTAATATACTGTGGGTGAAGTTATGCAATATCATAAACACATTTTCCACTTTTGAAAAACTTTTGCTCTTTCAGATAACAGAGGGCAACTGGAAATAAGGCAAGGTTTTTATCTTCATATTGCCTGGAAAATATTCGCACCTGTCAAATTCCACCAGCTGGCATTATTGTTGTTCCGCGGATAAGCACACACAAAGCTGCTTAGATAGTTATTTGGATGTTGGTCTCATAAATCATAACTTGCTTGGTGCAGGTTTATAAAGCTTCAGGAAGGTTTCTTCCGAGGATGATGTTAGATCGTTGAGATTAAATTCAACCTCAAAGGTGGGTTTTTCCCCCAAAATAATTAAGGCAACGAACACAGCGAATTTTGCTGTTAGTCCTTTGATATAGTAAGTCACACCATCTTCAGGATTTGTGTACTCAAAGCAATGAATAATAAAATGATGACCGGATTGCGTCAGGTGATTCTGGTGGTAGGCGTGTGGGTGCAGGAAATAGTCCAGAGGCACCAGGAACACTTTCTTCACTTCATCAGGATTCGGCTGGGCCTGGAAGTTGTGGTCTATGAACCCTACAACTGGTGTTATAAATGTATTTGTCTAAAAGCAGAAAACAAAATACACAAATTAAGAAGTGAAGAGATACTGTTTCAAATGCGAAAGTCATGCAGCTTCCATGTAAACTAAGAAAACAGGCTGGCCTGGCCAGCATGGCTTAGTGATTAAGCATCGACCTAGGAACCAGGAGCACCTGCCCAGGTTGCGGGCTCCATCCCCAGTGGGGCGGGGGCATGCAGGAGGCAGCCCATTAATGATTCTTTCTCATCATTGATGTTTCTATCTCTCCCTTCCTCTCTGAAATCAATAAAAATATATTTTTTTAAAAAAAAGAAGGGAAAAAAAAGAAGAAAGGCTGAAGTAATCAGTACATAAGGTGGGCAGGGCAGGAGGAACTTGCTACAGTTGTAAACCTTGTTACCCATGAAATGTGAGGAGTCCCTGCCCTACATTAGCAGCCTCTGTGAGATAGCTCTGTAAATATTTTGGAATGACAATTTGGCATTATAAATTCGTGGTCCCTCTGACTTAGCAATTGCAGTTGTGCAAGTAAATTCCTACCAGTGAGAAAAGATACAAGTGCATCAGGTCCTCTAATAATCTCGTTCCATTATAACATTGATGAGATGCTGTGGGAACTTGGTTTATGTCAACTAGCCTAGGGTAAAATTGGCTTTGTTACGTTGTTCACTTAAAGTTGCAGAATCTGTTGACAATGTTAAGTAAGGACTTACTGCACAAGACTGAAGCATTATTTGCAATAGCCCAAAACTCTACAGTTACCACCCTCCAATTGATAGACATTTAGGGTAGATCAATTAGGAGTATAGCCATATCATATATAATAAAAGCCTAATAGGCCAAGTGTCTGACCATTGGACTGTTTGACCAGTCGCTATGATGCACACTGGCCACCAGGGGGCAGACACTCTGACCAGTAGGTTAGCTTGCTGCTGGGGTCCAGCCAATGGGGACTGGCGTGACAGGCTGGACATGCCCTGGAGCCTTCCCGCGGTCCCTCCCCAGACCCTATCGTACACCGGTGGGGTCCCTCATCCTGGCCTGTGCCCTCGCAAAATCTGGGACCCCTCAGGGGATGTCAGAGAGCTACAGGCCAGGTCCAGGGACCCCACTGGTGCACGAATCTGTGCACCAGGCCTCTAGTAATGGGATAATATGCCCCTTTAAAAAAATGCAATAGATAACTTTCCCTATAAGTATAGAGAAAGTCATCTTATCAATAGAAAAATTACATAATATTAATTGTGGCATATTTCCATTTATGGAAAATT